ATTGTCACGGAAGTGAATGTAACGGTTTCGATTGAAATGCTCCACCCTCCACTACTCCACGGTGCCTGCTTTAATATATATATATATATATATATATATATATATATATATATATATATAAAGAACAGTAAGATATATAGTCCGGTGTTCTTATTAATTATTTTTATTTTACAAAACAGTGCTCAATGCAAATCTAAGAAGCATAAATATTATAAATTTACTAATTAGTAAATTTATAAAATATATATATATATATATATATATATATATATATATATATATATATATATTTTGTTTGTATGTATTTTTGATTGGTCATTCCAGCTAATGTAACACCGTTTCCCCTTACGAGGTGTAGTTAATTAATTTGGACCTTTTAAAACCTTTATTCCACAATCTACATTCAACGTAATCATAAGACACCAGAGGTGTTGAAACAAAATGGCTATTTTTGTAGTGATTTTATAACATATTTATGTTATAATTTTCAAATAAATAATTATATATATATATATAAAAAAAAAAAAACGTATAACATAAATATGTTATAAAATCAATACAAAAATATGGTGTCGTATCAAGCGATAGTGTTAACAAAATGGCTATTTTTGTAGTGATTTTATAACATATTTATGTTATACTTTTTAAATAAATAATTATATTTACTCTACTCTGTATTGAGAACACTTTTAAGAACAGTAATTGTTGGTTATTGGAATTTATTCCGTATACACCAATCATATACTTATATATATATATATATATATATATATATATATATATATATATATATATATATATATATATATATATATATACACAAAGATAATATATATATAAATACATATTTATGTTATAATTTTAAAATAAATAATTATATTTATATATATATATATATATATATATATATATATATATATATATATAGTTTATCCAAAACTAGGTAATCCGTATGGGTAGACCCAAGGAGGATGATATCCCGAGAGCTCAATGTAAATTCAGATCATTTGAATAAAAACAGACCACTTTAAGGTTACATGTAATAAATTATTTCACCATATATATATATATATATATATATATATATATATATATATATATATATATATATATATATATATATATATATATATATATATATATATATATATATATATATATATATATATATATATATATATGGTAAAGAATTTTCAAAGAATATATATAAAAAATATTTTTCATCGAAATCTTTTTTAAAATAAGATATTACTAAAATGAATGCAAATAGAATAAAATAAAAAATATAAGTATAAAATATACGAAATATTAAAAATAATAATAATAATAATAGAAATATAAAGTTATTACGAGGTGAACTATGTAAATATATAGCCACAAAAAACTAAACTATTTACAGAAATCTAAAAACATAAATATATATATTATGAAATGGACAAAGTCCGACAATTATTTTAAAAAGATTTTTATGTTTATACATTCTTTTTATAGATACAAATATATAAGTAAATGCTCTGTTTATAACAAACTGTATTAAACAACATTTATCGGCTTGAATGTCCGAGAAATTTTCACAGAAAATATTCGTCCTCCGACAGGATTCGAACCTGTATCCTATACCTTATGTCTGTATCATTGTATCGGTTATTAGCAACATTTTGGTAAGAGGAAAACTCAGACAACCCTTGTCCAATTAAAGTAGATTTATCTGTAACCATGGAAACGGGATTTTAGCTGTGTCTTTAAAACCCAGTAATTTTAAAAGTTACTCCAAAATTCGCTTGAGGATGAAATGGAACTAATGTCTTTAATTTAATTGCAAAATTAAATTCGTGGCATTTAGCTTCTATTTTTGAAACATGGTTAGAACTGTGTAGCGGAAAAAATACATATTTTAAATCAATTACTTTATAATATTAATGCTCTGTAAATTTACATTGAGCACTACTATGTAAAAATAAAAATATCTATAAGAACACCGGATTATATATCTTACTGTTCTTTCTTTTTATCTAAATACATACATACATATATATATATATATATATATATATATATATATATATATATATATATATATATATATTTTTGTTTGTACATATATATCGGTTCCTTGGTGTTTTTCTGCTGCTTTTTCTTTTGGTTGGACTCAGCACTAGTCCACCATATTTCCCTACAACCTCTACAATCTCGTAGTTTTAAAGAAAATATATCTACTGTCTTCAATCCCCTTGTAAGGAAAATAAACTTCAAGTCCGTCAGGCTTTTGAACCTCCCAGTTAGGGAAAACTTTACGATATTATTGTTTCCCGTTTTTCTTTATTCATAGCATGCTAGTAAAGTTTCAATTAAAAATAAATGGAAAACACTCTTCACGGATGTCAGAAGATACTGATGTTCTGATCTGTTTGTTATTGTTGGAACAGCTTGTGTCATGGTCGGTGGGAAACAGGAAAATGTGAACTCAATTTTCATCTGTGTTGATTCGCATACAAAAGTCGGCTGCTATAGATTTACGGATTTGATAAAATCCCTTTACGCTCGTTATCTTCGATATTAGCAGTTATTTTGATTTGAGATAGCATCTCCAAAGTGGATTTTTGATTATTACATCCACCGTTCACCCTCTGCCACACTCAAACTTGGGGCGAGCCAATCGATTGGAAAGAATAAGACAGAATAATATATCGAATATTGATTTTAACGGCTGAGCGGCTAAAATAACAATGTCACAATTTCTGGCGTGTGAGAGACAAAAATAAATGGCGGAATATCAATTCGTGTTTGGTTTTTGGTGTGTGAACCTCGTGAAAGTCGTTTTTTTTTTCTAAGAAGGATTGCCTTAGTAGCAAAATGATTGGCTCGTAAAATAAAAATATTAAAAAAATAAATATAATACACAAATTTATAAATAAATAAAATTCTCTATCTGCAAGTGAATGGATTTTTTATTAATTCAACAGACCTTTATCCTTTTAAGCATTATTTTTAGTGGATACCGATGTTTGAGTAGACGCTCCGTTTATTTATTAAACATTATATTTGTTTATTTATTAGGATTAAAAAAATATGATAAAAAAAATCTTTCTAAAATTTTCTTTGTTTACCATTGAATACGAAACTGGGGCGATTTGAAAAATTTCGAGAGATTCTATGGCGGGAAAACTTTCGCTTGAATGCACTAAATTCCCCCCCCCGTTTGACCTATTGCTCTTCGTGGCCAATTCGGTTAGAGCGTGATGGGCTTAACGATAGCGTCCACTGCTATGAAGGACACAGGTCTAAATCCAGCCGGAGAGTTAAAGATTTTTTTAATAAGATTTCTGGAACATTTCGACCGGTAGTTGAATATATATATATATATATATATATATATATATTGTTTAATAAACAAACGCAGTACCGACTCAAATAAAAGTATCCCCTAAAAATAACGAAAATAACGTTCAAATCCATATCTAGGCTGGTGTTCCTGCTATATATTTAGAAATTCTTGATGACATATAGAGAAGAATCTGCAATGTTATTGGTACTAGCCTTGCATCTCGGCTTCGGTTACTTTCCCAACGTAGATTCAATGCACCTTTTCTATAAAGACTTTCATGGTAATTGTCCTGTTGAACGTTACTCTATGGTACCTCCACCTTATGAATTTAAGCGCAGTTCCAGATTGGCGGCAAAGTTCTCATCATTTTAAAATTTTAATTGGCTAGATGTTACCGTAAGTTCTATGCTAACAGTTTCTTCTGTCGCACTTCTTGTTTGTGTAACTTTATTTCGGCTTCTTGCTTTTGAGTCAACTTCGATCTTCAGCAATTTAAATGCAATGTCAATCATTATATTCTGTCTTCTTAGTTGTTGTTCTATTATTGTCCTTCTTAATAGTGTCTTTTTTTTTCTCATAATATCTAGCCCCTTGCGTCTCAGTGACTTTATTACTTTGCTTGGGGTGAAATGATTTAAAGCAAAACAGAACACTGCATAAACACTAAAACGAGTTTGAATTTAACCCCTATTAAACAAATTTGTGGTGTCATCCACGGAGCTGCTTAGTAAGTTGAGCAGATATTAAAAAAAGAAAAAGAAAAAAAAAACGAACGTTGAACTGCTATGTAATATCACACCTCCTATATACGAGTGAATGCCGAAGAGTTACCTCACAGATGAAACAGAGGCTTGAGACAACAGGTTCTCCAGAAGGATAGTGAGAATACCAGGAACTGAACATTTGAGCAACGAAAAAATATTAGGGAAAATGGAAACAAAAAATAAACTTATACTTAGAATCAGAAAGAGACAAGTTCTTGGATAAGTAACGAGGAAAGAAGGTTGGAGAATTTAACACTAATACTGCATGTGAAAATCAAGAGCAAGTGACCTACCTAACGGGCATGAGTAAATAATTGTCAGAATAGAGAAAAGGAGAGATAACAAATAGGCAAAAAAAGAGCTAAAAAGGACATGAAGTTGTGGCGGGCCGTGATCGCCAACTTCATGAAAGGACACGACACATAGAAGAAGTGGGGAAACAGTTTGATAAAAACCACAATGATGAATCGTACTTATTGGTTTGTATTGGTGGTACAAGCCTCAGAATATAAACAGAAGCATTTCTGATATTTCGACCCGTTCGAGTTATTTGGAGATTGACTGCGTATGAAGAAAAACTAAGTTTTATGAACAGGTTTTTTCGAATATTTAAGGAAAAAAAAACAAAAAACAAACTAAAAACAAAAAATCCTCAAAAAAGAGAAACGGAACAGGAAGTAAATTCTGTTTGGTTTTCGAAAGAATTAATAATGGTGAGTATTTTATTTCTGTTTTTTTGTTGTTGTTGTTGCGTTACGATATTGAGTATAGAGCCATAAGTCATAAATAATGTGCAAAACTTATCGATCCAGACGTTTTCTCGGCAAGTCTTTCATTTCAATGAAAAAAGAAAGATGCACGTTGCATAGAACGTCAAAGGAAAAGAAACATATATAAAAATATTATAAAAGAAAAATTATAACTATCTCACTCTATTCTCGTCCATCTATCTATCTATCTATCTATCTATCTATCTAGCTATCTCTTTTACTATCTCTCTATATGTATCAGTTTCTACCTATTAATCTATTTGTTCCTATCTACCTGTTTATCTATTACTCTGTTCTGTTTAATCTCGCTGTATCTGTCTCCTCACTCATTCCTCTCTTTCTTTATACCTCTCTGTCTCTCCTCTCTCTCTCTCTCTCTCTCTCTATATATATATATATATATATATATATATATATAGGTGTTTCTATCTATTAATCTATATGTCTATTTGATCTATCTATCTATCTATCTATCTATCTATCTATCTATCTATCTATCTATCTATCTATCGCCCTGTTCTATTTAATCCTCTCTCTCTTTACACACACACACACACACACACACATATATATATATATATATATATATATATACTATTTCTATTTATCAGTCTATCTCTGCCTATTTGTCCGTATCTATCTTTCCCACTTTCTTCTAATCTATCTATCTATCTATCTATCTATCTATCTATCTATCTATCTATCTCTATTCCGAAACCTGTTTTTCTTCCCTTTCATTTTCCTCTGTATCTTTTTTTTTTTTGTCTTTCCTTCATATATATATATATATATATATATATATATATATATATATATATATATACATACATGCTGCATACATATATATATATATATATATATATATATATATATATATGTGTGTGTGTATACATATATATTTATATATATAATTCCATGTTAATGTGTAGTCATTTGCGGAATTGCTTTCTGTCCGTTTATATCTCCAGATCTTTCTATCTATAAAACAAATCGGTTGGCCAGCAGCTTCGTACAATCCGAAAGATTTATCTTCTCAGCTTATTTACGAAAATAAATGTGAAATTCGACTTGAAACCTTCACGTGTTTAATATACACGGAAATTACAAGGTAAACGTAGCCTTACGGCCCCATCGCGACAAAACATCGATTCCTAAGCGATCACCGATGCTGGGTAACAACTGGTCAGTAACTAGATGGGTGACTGCTTCGTAACATCAGGTATTGTAAACTTGGATGTGTCGGCTGTGTATGGATAATGGCTCTAAATTTTTCATCTGAGAGCCAACTTCCAATTCCATTTTGTATTCGTCATATTCCCTTACGCGCCAATAAACTTGGGAAAGGTATGTGTCCATCGCTTTATTATGGGCTAATTATTAAGACTTTTATCACTAAATCATTATTATTTCCCCCAAAGTCTTTCAATCTAAAACTATTTTCTGGATTGAAATAAGATGCAAAGGGTTGCCAAGCCGTGGAAAACGAATCAGTCATTCATACTACAGAATTCTACGGAAGGATACTGAAAATTCTATGAATGGGGCAAGTAAGCAACAAGGACATCTTGAAGTAAATGACAGCAGAAGGAACACTTATACTCTAAATCCGAAAACCATAGGTAATGATCCTCGGATTTAATAAGGATAGAGGGCTCAGAAAACTTAATCCGTAGAAAACAAAGCAAATTAAACACAATGTAAATCTCTATAGCTGTTAGCGAAATGATTCGTTCTGTTTTTTTTTATGATTTATTTGTTTAATGTAACATTAGGTTCCTTCCGCCCATTATTACTGTAAAAACTGTTGTCTTTCCCTAGATCTGAAATCCACTAACCCAAAATCGATAGGCAGATGGGTCGCCGTTTCACTTTGCCACTCTTGCCTTCTATATACCTTGCCAGTGTTAAAATTTCCAAACACTCTTTCCTCAATACGTATTTCAACTGTCCCTTTCTGTTTTTAACTACGTGTCATTTTAATTCGCATTAGATGAAAAGGTAACATATGTGACTGACACGTGAAAAAAAAGACGTGTGCAGTTTATGAAGAAGGTTATGTATATACTTAAACATGTCAAAAGTGGTTTGTAACTTTTGAGCTCACGCAATCGACTCGCTGTTAAAAAGCAAGAAAAAAGAATATTCATAGTCTGTCAAAATCTCAGTCAAAACTCTAAGCCGTTTTGTTGATTTAATTCTCGCGTTAAAAAAAAGACTTTGCAGATATTAAAACCGAAATTATTATATCTACTCAATTTTCTGTCATTATGCAGGTTTTTTATTAACAGTTTTTAGTTCTGGCTAATTTTAACATTCGTCCCTAGTCGATAGACTTCATTTAAAAAGCATTCACCCAGTTGACGGTTCTATAATTCATCAAATTGCATTTTTAAAAATCATTTCACCCCAAGTAAGGCGATAAAAGCCACTAGAATGCAAGGGGTTTCACTGAGTGAAAAGACAAGGACAGGATTCAAGACTTCAGAAGAAGACGACTGACATTGCATTTTAATTATAGAAGACCGTAACCGAGAGGAAAACTGTTTCACGGAAAGAAGAAACTATTAGCATAGAATTTACGGTTACATCTAGCAATTGCAACAGTGGAATTATGGGACCTAACTTCAAATCGAGTACTACGCATAAATCCGTCAAGTCGGGGTACAAAAAGAGGAAAGATTTCCAGAACAATTACTGTGAAAATGTTGTGGAGTTATTTCACAGTGGAGGCTTGTATTTGTACTAAATCGGTCCTAAAATAGGTTCGACGTACAAAACGTTAGGAACTTGATATAATAGGTAATGACGCAGAGTAATCTTGTGGTCGCTGATACGTTCGTATTCGACTAACTGTCGACTACTGTCGTCCGATATCGACTAGTATTTAGTCACCCTCCAATGAGGATATCATGTGGCACTAGACCGGTTTAACGTGGGATTCCGAGCCCGTGGACTCGGCCAAAAATATACCCTTTGAACCCGTATAAACGGGTTCAGGGTCGGTTTACCTCCCCGAACGAGAATACACCCTTCCTGCGTAGCCTCGTTCGGGTTCCTCCCCGCCCGATGGCAGAGAGTTCAACCGTTCAGCCGGTCGTCCGACATCGACTGGATATTAAGTCCCCAGCCCCACTCTGGCATCATGTGACACAAGGTCGGTTGTTTATTGTGGGTTCTCCGAGCCCGTGGGCTCAGCCAAAAAATATGCCCATTGAACCCGTATAAACGGGCTCAGGGCCGGTTTACCTCCCCGTACGAGACTCCGCCCCTCGGCGTAGCCTCGTTCGGGTTCCTCTCCGCCCGAAGGTAGAGCGTTCAACCGTTCAGCCGGTCGTCCAACATCGACTGACCCTCGTTTCTCTTACTACTCCTACTTATATTAGGCGGGAGAGTCTATTAACTATAGAATAGGTGTATTTCACAGTAACAGAAAATATTTACAGAAAGGAAACAGGGAAGCTACGTTACGACGGTAGGAAAATGGCTGAAGCCGATATGCCAGGTCAAGACCGATGATACTGCAGATTCTTCACTGAATTTTGTCAAGAGTCTGTAGATATATAGCGGGGACAAAAGGCAGCAATATTCGGTGCACGAATGACTGGTAGACTTATGAATATGCAAGAAATATTCTGGGGAGAAAAAATTGTCTAGCTTGACATAATGAATGGACTTTCCTAGCAACAAACTGATTTGATTCAATATAATACGTTATCACTCTGCGTTTAGCTTCAGCCACGCTGATTGAATGAAAAATGCCCTCTAAATGGTTAAAATAGAGTAGTTTTGTTTCGGAGGCGTTAATCAGACATTTTTACCAGGTAAACTTTTACTTTCAAAAATATTTAAAGGACCATTCCTGGAGACTATACTACGGTGAAGTAATCGATAGCGGCACGGATTGATGAATCGGGAGATCTGAGTTCAAATTCCCGTTGAGTCTATTACATTCACTTACTAAAATTGTGATATAAAAATGCTGCTCTAATTAAAACAGAAAACATTTCACTAGGACGAAGATATTTAGAAAGTGCTTTAATCGCTCGTTCATCCACATTAAGTTTCCGTCCAGGTTCCTACAACGTTTCACCATTCCTGGCACATCTTCTATTATGACAATGTGGGTTATCTAATAACAAAGATGGTGGAAAGAAAAAGAAAAAAGAATCTAAATGAATTTTGCTAGATAATATAATCGAACACATATTAAAAAAAAAAAACATATTGGGTAGCGTTTAAGCTAGAACCTGCGGGGGTGCTCTTCATTGTGTCTTTAACACAATATGTTAGAAGGAGCAGATGCGATAGGCAGCAATAATCTACAGAAGAACTCAAAATTGATCGCTGCATTTAAATATTGCATTAATATTTAAGTTTACCTTTTAAAAGTTCAACGATAATTCTTTTGCCGCCCCCTTATTTAGAGACAATTTGATGTACGTAGCTCCTTACGTTCCGTACAAACAATTATTTTTATTTCGTGGGTGACTTTCGATGGATTTCGCAATTAAATTCGATTTTTTCCCAAATCAACGAAAACAATTGCAGTAATGAAAACTTGGGAATCCAAAATTTCATGGATGCAGGACCGTATCCGGACCAGAATGTTTTTAATTTACTCACGGAGTCGACCTGATTCCTAAATGGTATAATATGAGGGCTTCTAGGAGTAAAGTTTAAAATGTGTAACACAGTGACACACTGACATTCGTATTTATTATATAGATGTACAATTCCCAGCGTCTCTATAATATATATATATATATATATATATATATATATATATATATATATATAAAGACAGGATATGTGTGTTTTAACGAATGCACGGCCGCAATTTTCGACGGATTTGCACCAAAATTTTCATGCACATTCCCAACTCCCATCGATAGTGGAAATAATCGATTTTTTCATGCTTCTACGACAGTTTTCATGTAGTTTGCGGCCATTTTCTACTGGCCAGAGTGAGAGCTAATATCTGGCTGCCACAAATAGGCAGGAAGATTCTATTGGCCAGCGTGAGAGCCAACAGCTGACTGACACTAATGTTAACTAGCATGCTAGCATGCAGAAAAAATCGATAGCTGCATTCGTCACAAGTGGGAAAAATTTAAATCTGCATGGCACTTTACTCCAATTGGCTCATTCGCTTGCTTAAACTCAATGTTGATTCTGATTCCGTAGAACTGGGTTGGGTGTGAAAAAGTATTTGTTGTTAACATTCTTTTTTCATTCGGTTTTTCCAGTTACGAGTCCTTTTTTAAAGCTGATCATTTTGTTTAGTTCTTTTTTCATAACAGATTTAATGTTTAGTATAGAGCTTAGAAAAAATTCGCAGTGTGAGATAAGCAAGAAGTAACGCATGTAGCAACATCAGCACGGCAAAGGGCACTCCTTTAAAGGCAAGGAAGGGCAAAAATATTTTAAGTCAAGTGATAGCGATTACTGTATGAGTCATTCGGTTTTTGAATCAAGCACGGGCAACGCCGGGAAATGCTGCCAGTATATATATATATATATATATATATATATATATATATATGTGTGTGTGTGTGTGTGTGTGTGTGTGTGTGTTTTTTAAACGAAGTGGAAAATTTAGATATAACATGTCACTGGACGCTTTCCCTCTATCCCATTCGGAAGATTTAGTCAAAATCTCGCTGACACACAAAAGTGTTTAACGAAAGACAGGAGTATGGGGACTCCATTCTACCCTATCTGCCTAGGTCGCCGGAGAAATCTGCTACCATGATAGTCAACCTTGACAGAGGGTACTAATAAGGTACAAGCATGTTCTGTCGATAAACTTGCTGGAATTTTTGTGGGAATGGTTTGGAACCAACCGATAATCTTTATGCTAAGAATCCCAGCACGTCTAAAATTTAGATAAGATGAAAAGAACAGATCGAAGATCGTGAACCTAAATTTTGATAGGTGAAATTTTACACCATCGAACGTCGATATTTTAGGTAAACCAGAAATAATGACGCAAAAAACACACATTTACATATCTTTTTTGTACTGAAGTTCGCCCAATACAAGCCGCATGTGCCACTCAAGGTAGAAGGTTATTAATAGATTGAGTGATATGAATGTAAATAAATAAGTCAAAAGAAGTCAAGGTGATGAGGCTAAGGTGGATATATAGTGATTGACCCTTAACTTGAAGAAGTTAATATTGAAGAGGTTAAGATTGTAACTGCGTGAATAGAACTTCGTCTTTACAAATGAAATAGGGAGGAAATGAGGCTGATTGCTCAACTACTTTCTCAAGAACCTGTACTTTATAATGCTCCATAAATTTTCTATGGGATTGAGGTTAGGAGATTGGGGCGGCCATGTCATAACACTCACCTGCTTCTCATCAAAGTATTCATTCATCAATTTTGATTTGTGACAGGGAGCATTATCCTGCATAAAAATGAGCTTGGTGGGGGTCGATTTGCACCCTTTCAGCAGAAGGGAGCAGACAAGACTCTAAAATTCTCTTGTACTGCTTGCTCCTGAGGGTCTTTTCAATAGGTTTTAAGAAACGAGTTCCATGAAAAGAAAAGCATCCCCCAGAACATTATACTGAACGGATGCTTGACAGTACTTACTGCTAAATTCAAAGAGCTTTCAAAGCTTCTTCTTCGGATTTTAGATCGCTTATCCTTTGAATTTAGCTCAACTTTCGTTTCATCGGAGAAGAGAACATTTTGTAAAAAAAATCAGGTGAGTCACTTTTATCGAACAGCACTGTATATATATATATATATATATATATATATATATATATAATTGGCCCTGATCTGGCATCTCGTCTGCATAGTTGTTGAACAACTGCTGATGTTTTCATTATCTTTTTATTGAAGGATATATATATATATATATATATATATATATATATATATAGCTTGAGAAGGTTACCCGGATCAACAAACAACTGATGAAATATTAATTCACATTCAAATTCAGAATGAAATTTCCTGCTTTTATTCTGAATCCTTGATTATTATTATTGGAAAATTACTGGAAATGAAAATTCTAATAAAACAATCATTTGGAATCTGATAAACTGATAGTTCCAATTCCGACCTGTTTATTAGATTTTGAAATTATTAACACCACCTCCACCCGCTTTTGCAACTCTCTAATTTTAATTCGAGGCCAGAGAAGACATATTTTGTGTCGATAATAAATTTATATTCTTAATAAATAAACAAGTATATTGCAGAATGATACCGGAAAACTGACCGCACGAAATTTGCATCCCATATATATATATATATATATATATATATATATATATATATATATATATATATATGGCATGATGCCTTCCTCGCAGTAAAAGCTGTGAGATTAGATGTTTTTCAGCATTCACACTTCAAAGAATTGTACTTTGGTTTAATCTTCCTCCTTTTTTGACCTGTGGATCAGATATTTCAAAAACATCTTACCTTTTTCACTCTCTTTCTCATTCTAGTAATGAGGTAAAAGACAGACAGTAATGATATCTACCAATATATATATATATATATATATATATATATATATATATATATATATATTTGGGAAGCATATATTGTTAAATATAACGAATGTTTATTATGTTTGATCATGAACCGTTGTAAGCTTCTTATATTGTTTTAGTTACGTTTAGTGGTATTATGAATTAACGACCTGCGTTTGACATTCCGGTGCCGTTATCGTCGCATAGAAAACGTCTATTTAAACATAACACGATGTCATTTTTGTTCATGTGAGCCGAAATCTTAGATCGAGGAAGAGCATAATAAAAAAATGTCAAAATGTTGGACAGTTTTCGTCTTTATTTTCTCCTGAAACTAAAGACACTCTACGAAGCTTAGACGGCTCATGATCAAACATGTATATTTGAATATCTATCTATCTATCTATCTCTCTTTCTTCTCTCTCTCTCTCTCTCTATATATATATATATATATATATATATGTATATATATATCAAATTATTATTTATGAAAAACATATACATTCATTTCATATGTACAGGGTGAGGTGGAGAGGACGATCGTTTTTGAAATATTCACAGTACCATTAATTTTAGCTTCAACAAAATTTTATCAACACCAATGTGTTCGTGTTGAATTGATAAAATCATGTGTGGAAAAAAACATCCCTCAGGTGGTGTCAGTTTTCCTTGATGCATTTCTGAAGGCGTTCTTGGAAGTTGACCTCCACTCTTTCCAGCATGGCTCCGTCGATTTGGATGACTTCCCCGCGAATAGATTCTTTCAAATCGTCCAATGCTCATGCATACGTGCCCT